CATTCACATTTCTTTTACTTAAGAATAATGTCGAAAACTCTATAAACACATAAAATCTGAAATACAGTTATGACGTCTGTCAATCAAATTTGACGCGGTTGTGGGAATACTGTGGAGAGACGATGATCGATAATTCTTGACTAAGCACACGTAACTGCGGAATGCAAATGAACGTGAGTACTGTGGGTAGCGGTAAACCAGATATTTTCGCAATAAGACGTCGCGTATACGATTTAATTGAGCCACGTGGCGCACACTGAAATTTGTATGAATCACTTCTGAGTTAATTAGAATCTTACGTAAGCCTCTCTACAAGTCACTAGATTTATCATTCATTCCTTTGTCAAATGATATTGATAGAAAAGGAATAATTCTATTTAGTTTCCAAATAGTAATTCTTTTACTAATGCATAAAATTATATTTAGTAGTAATCATTATCGAATATTTATAAGCAATTACGTGATTAATTGATTCGCAATAAACATGAAAATGTAGGAACGACAGCGATCAGATGAGAACGTCAGTCAAGTTCTTAAGGCTTCGATAAGAAAATGATGTCTTCATAGCTGTGTTCGTATCTTGTCAAGATTTTTATCTGTTTAATTACCGACAGGCATCAAGCAGCTTTCTTCTGGTTACGTACCGATTTTTATTCGTACGCACGAACTTGTATCGACCCGTGACGATTCACCGCGGGGGAAATTAATTTCTTAGCCGCCTCCGTTTTCGCATGCACTTAATAAACCCGTGTGCGTCGTTAATTACCAGCGGGAGAACCGAGAGCCGCGGTATATTCATTAGTGTGTCGAAATCGAGCCCGAAACGACCACGGGACACTACCTTCGATCATTCCCCTTTCTTCCCATGCCCACTACGAAATTGCGTGTGCACTTTTTCAAATGGATTAGTTAAAGATTATAAGAAACCGGAGGGCGAAGGATGACGTGTGTTCTAATTTTATTTCCATTCTCTTAGTCAGTTGCCAACCGCTAATGTAACATACTGGACTAACCATACTATTCACTTTAATCTAAAACAGCGTTTCTCAATCTGTGGCGCATGTGATGTGTGTGGTACCTTACGTTATTTTTGATGACACAATTTTTCCATAGATTGCAACTTGAACTTAACTTACGTATAAGATTGATGAAGATAAAGATTGACGTGGTACATTTATTTTTTTTATTCTTAATTATGTGATGCAAAATTTTAATAGTTTGAGAATCGCTGGTTTAAAAAGAAAAAAATTAAGGATTTAGTATTGTCCAGTTATAATTCGCTGCATAAACTCTGCCGCTTTTATCTTCGACTTTTTATTAAAAGCACTCTATCATAGTGGTACAAAGTAAAATGCATCCAGGCTTACATAAATTGAAGAAGGTTCCTAACTAATGCAAATGTAGAAAAGAAAAGCGTATCAGAGATGACTCAAGGCATTGATTTATAAAGTCGAGGTTTTTACCTCGCTCCGAATTGCGATACGTTTTCCTGTGACGGATTCTCGGAAATATCATACAGAATTGCATTCACAATGTGGTAAAGGATGTGCGTTCCACTACAAGAATGTGCGGTTTCGATAAATAGGTGATACGGTTTGATGCGTTTCAATCGTTGGATCAAGGGAAAATGCTTGATGGAAATGAGAAGAGGAAACGAATTCAGAAGTTGTCCCCGCGCGATAGTAATTTACAGCTCGATCGATCGAGGCCACGGGGAGAAGAAGAGCAGTGGTTTCTCGTTTACAAGCTGTCGGTGACGCGCGCTCCATCACTCGATAATACAATAGTTTAGAAAAAAGGAGGAGGATATTGGTAACAGACCTGAACGAAGGAACAAGTAGGAAGAGGAAGTGTGCGCAGCACCATAGGAGATTGATGGTGTTTATTGCGACCCCGTCGCGCTTACTACTTTCATCCATTACCTTCCCTGTATCTTTCAGCCCCAAGCTTTTATCGATAACAAATAAAAATCAGTGTAAATACAGAAATTAAATTCTGTACGCGATAATACTTTCCTCTACAAACGCTGACTTAAAAGTTATTTTTTACGGCCAGTTGAAAGCGAAGTTATGCTTAGAAATTGGAATATTTACCAAAAAATATTTTTCTAAGTGAATTATCAATATTTTTTATCACGATTGATAATTAAATCAAGATTGTCTATGATTAGAATGTTAAGGTAACTCATTAAGTCGTTAAGAAGAATTAATCTGCGAAGGTTTCGTCTGGGAATGGTACTGGGAAACGCGGAGAGGACCTGTTTATTACTAACGGCGATCCACGTTTTGCTCCATAAGAGCGGCGACGCCGACACGTTTACCCTCGGGTACATCACCGGCTCGAAGAGGCGTCCAGGGGACTTGGAGTATCAGCGTCCCGGTTTCCGGATATCCGGCGCCATATCGCTGGCCGTGGAGGAGGTAATTCAACCGGTTATTTTCACCGACCGCAATTAGCGCGGAAGTAGTTAATTAGCCGGAAAGAAATTCGGGAATCCAGGTTGTCGGTTATAAAAAAGTTTCCGAAGAAAATTAAACTGGAAATTTTCTTCTCCTTCGAGAAAGAGAGAGAAAAAGAGTTAACGGTGAAAGGATCGAGAGTTTACTTGGGAAATTGGTTTTGGCGGAAAGTAGATAGAATTTAATTAATTCCGAAAAGAATATAAGTTCGAATCGATCTAGGTGAACGCAGGTGAACTTGGTCGGCGCGGCCACAAGCTAGACTTCCACATCGCTGAAACTTATGGCGAGGAGGAGACCAGCATCTTGATGACCGCCGACCTGTGGACGAAGAACGTCAGCGGTTACATAGGCCCGCAGGAGACTTGTGTCCACGAAGGCAGGATGGCTGCCGCTTTCAATCTGCCCATGATATCTTACGTAAGTTATTGTCCATCTTCTTTATTGCAAATTTATTATTGCCTTATTGCTCAACCGCGACGAACGTATTTATACGCGCAATCATCGTGAATCAGCGCGGTTTTTATCCGACTCTAATGAATACGTTGGCAAAATTCCTATTTCGTGGAAATAACGAATCGAAAGAGACAGCGTGGAAGAAAAATGCGTTCTGGCTGCTACTCAGCGCAAGAAGCTTTCCCGGTTTAGAAAGTTCACGAGGCGAAATCTCGGAAACCATCCCTTATGGGTTTCCCTCTGAACGGAACAACCGCCGGGAGCACTTTGGTCAAGTAACAAGTACTGTGCGCGTGTATGCTCTCAGCTAGGAACCACTTTTATTGCGGACACTCGTATCGACGGGGATCGGGAGCATCGAAACTTCCAGCGTCTTCGCTCTACATTAAGCGGTTCCACCGCTACCATACATATTTCTCGCAATAACGTAAATTGCCCGCGGGAAGATACGATCTCTTTGTGGCATGCGATGAAAACAAACGGGCGAACCTCTGATAAAGCGTCTATTTAAACCGGAGAGGATATGCAAATAATAGAAACCTGCAGCAGCGTCCGAAAGTATTTCGTCTATTTTTTTCCTGCAAACGTGATCTGACGTTGCAACGGGCGGTTTGACCGGCACAGTGGACGAATAAATTATCCGCAGACCACTGAGGAATATGAATGTGTGTGCGTCGAGGTTACAAAACGCTTAGCTCATTCAACTTGCTACCGACTCGCCTTTCATCTATCCTATTTGTTCCTCTCCTGTTTTGAAGTGTTACGATCTCACTAAATCATCTGATGTAATCAATGAATGAGAAATTCAGAGACCGTCTCTCACTTAACATCGTTTCTTTACAAGACAATTTATTTTTACTTCAGGTTTTAATAAAATGAATGACATCACGTACGAAGAGGCTGATTTATTAATAAACTGGGAAATCTATGTATTTATAGAAAAATTGCAAATGTACAGCAAATCTCTATTTAAATCGCATTTTCTAAATGGATACCATAAATGTCTTATTCTGGATGAAAATCTACAGTTCATCGATTAACTGTCCTACATACGAACTGGAATAAAGCCTATTCATCTTGCCGGAAAATTATCCAGATCATTGAATACATAGTTTCCTCCTCTTTAGCCGCGTTTACGAAAAATATAGGACCACCGTTTCACGATCCGTTTAACACCAACTACGGGTTTCGAGTCCACTCGCGGGAAATTAATCAGCCGGTAGAATTGTGTATAATAATTTGTCCAGGCTACCGACGCAGAGACCCGATCGGTTTTATCTCGCTCGGATTAATTTCTTGTTTCGCATCGGCGTTCGCGCAATAAGTCTTCGATACGGCCGATTACGACTTCTTATTAAATTTAATAACCTCGATTAATTGATCGTGCTTTGCTTACCGCCTGAGCCTCGATCATACTCGAGCGTATCACGCATATCTGTTCATAAATTTTTTTCAACTGATCATCATACGTGTATAATAATATAATTGAAGGGAAGATTATAATAAATTATTAAATAAATAAAAATATATTTCGATAGCAGAGACTTATGAACAAGAGTGCATATTATCGCAAATTCAGCAGATGAATCATATCAGCCTAGTAATAGAACCGAGACATCCGATGCAAATTTGAAACGGACTTTGCAACACGTGGCCAAGCTATTTATCTCTCCGGCTTGCCACTTGTATTCTTGGCTGAAATATCACGTGAAACAAAATGTACACAATTTCTCATCGAGAATTGTCGCATTTATCGTTGCTTTCAGTTCTGTACTCATCGCGCGACGTCCGACAAGAAGGAGTTCTCCACGTTCGCCAGAACCAGGCCACCGGATACGCAAATCTCGAAATCAGTCGTTTCCGTGCTCCTGGCCTTCAATTGGACAAAGGTGAATGTTCAATTCACGAATCGTTTTATCCGATTGACGCAGAAATAATTGCGGTTTTTATGTACATTATTATTGTACCAAAGCCGCAATTATTTTTGCACTAATTTGATAATTGCAATCATGTATGTTAACGATTGTATACAGGTGACGTTCATGTATATGAACTCGACTCTATTTGAGTTCAATAAAATGTCGACTGTAGCCGAGACGATACTGGCATCGTTCGAGGCAGCTGGCGTGACAGTGAACTTCCTCCGTTGTTGGGAAGAGCCGTATCACGTCACACACATGACCAATCCTTTCCACAAGCACGTCAGCGAGACTTACCAGGAAACGAGAAGTGAGTAAAAAACCGTCTAACCATTTATCAGCTCGTAAAAGAGTGGAGTAACATCTTGAAGAGATTGACGGACCTCGATAGTAAAAAGTTACCTTAAAATCTCGCGTTGCCTAAAATAGGCTACCCGCATTTTAATTCCGTTGAAATTATGAGCCAGACGATCGTAAAACGGATAGCCCGCATGTTAGCATTGCTGGAATTTCGCCTGGTGAATAGATACTGCTCGTAATTCGTTTGTGTTAGCTCGGTGTCGTCTATTTACGTTTATCTAATGGCTAAATATAGCTCGACCCGCTTTACTAATTCAACCATCTCCACAATTTTTGCTTGTAATTAAAGCAGACATTTAGGCAAAATATCTACGAATTAAAAGTCTAGCAAAATTCTTAAGTTAAAAATTGCAATCGAAATGAATTCCAAGCAGCAGATACAAAGAAATTGATAGAATTGATTGAAACTGCGATTCTGTTGCAGTCTACGTAATTCTAGGCAATTACTATGAGCACATGGGACTGTTGATGGCTCTGAACGAAAAGAAGCTACTGGAAAAAGGTATAAATCTGCTGTAACATAATCAGGTACATATACTAGAGAGCAATGTCACTAAATCGTAGTTTAATTATCAAATCTCACGAAGCTTTACTAAAACACTTCCTGCTAAATCATGATAAAAGTCAACGTAAGTCTTTTCAATAATATTCGAAGATAGATTATCCTGTATTATCACGCGAACTTTATTCGGACTACGAATTAAAATTTCTGTACGCAAAGAGAAAAACGCACCGTGAAAATTTCTGTCGCAGGCGAATACTGGGTGGTAGGAGTCGACATCGAACAGTACGATGAGAAGCATCCCGGGAAGTACTTCCGCGGTTTATGGGAGAAGAAGACCAACTCGTCGATCTTGGATGCTTACCGTAGTTACTTCAGCGTGGTGGCCACCGCGCCGTTCTATTCGAAAAATTTCACGCGCCTGGTGAACGAGTACAGGCAGAAGGCGCCGTTCAACTTCACGAATCCGATCGCGAGCGTCGGTGGAATCGTTCAGGTGACTATCTCGTCAATTTAAATAAAAGTTTTATAACAGTAGAAGAAAGCAAAGTAGAATCATGTACTACATACTTCAATTATTTGAAAGACTGTGAAATCATTTACAACTCTCTAGAATATGGAGTGAAATTTGATTATAAGGCGTGGATTGAAATAATTTGCAAGATTATTTCATGGTCGGAATGGAACGTTTGTTTGTGTTATATAAGTCAGATCGTGCCGGAGACAGCGTATCTGTACGACGCGGTGCACCTTTACGAGAGATCGCTGCTTAAAGCTCTGGACGAGAACCGGGACCCACGGAACGGCCGAGAAATGGTGGCAACTCTTTACGGCGTTCATTATCAGAGCGCCATGGGGTATGTATGACGAGTGTGAACCAAAATCATTCGCTTGTCACCTCGGTTTTTATGACAGCGAAAGCAAGCAAAATTCATTTTCAGTAAAACGATTATCATTTACACATCGCAGTTGATATAAGGTGCATCACTTGAATCAATGTAGGAATGTTTAATACCGTTTGCAACAGTTTAGAGTACGAGATCAATAAAAGCGACCATTAATGCAATGACGTAAGCGTCTAGAATGATAATTGACCCCACAAAATAATTATAGCTTTCACGCGGCGCCCCTCGGCTTCGCGTAATCCTTTCTCTATTTCTGTCCTCTTCGCTCTGACGATAATCGATACGCATTGTCGTTTATCTCCCAATCCCGTTGGGAATCGATTATGTAACATTCGAAGAACAACGGATTACGCAATTAGCAATAAAATAAAGAAAGCGAGAAACGAAATTGATGGAAAACGACGTTCCCCGAGTTACTTTTGCGCAATTTACGAGTACTGTTAACAAGCGTAAAACGCGTGTTACGACGCCTGTTGCATGATGTATCGTCTGCGCAGATACATGGTCTACATGGACGAAAACGGAGACGCCGAAGGTAATTATACTCTGATTGCTTTGGACAATCGGCCGACAAAGGGACACGGTCTATACCCCATCGCGTACTTCGTCGGGAAAGAGAACGGCACAAACCTGCCAGTAAGACGTTTACCGCTTTTTCGACGATCATTTTTGCTGCTCTTTCGTCGCGGCCCGATTATTGATTCTCTTTTCTCCTGACAGAAACTTCGATTGACGAGGAACGTTTCATGGATCGGCGACGGGCCGCCAATCGCGGAACCCGTTTGCGGCTACCACGGTGAAAAATGCACCAGTAAGTACACAAACTTCAACTACTTCTCAGACCTCACGATATATTGTTGTTACCAAACTGGCGATTTTTACGCAAAATAAATCTTTCGCGATGTCAGTTTAAAAAGTGAAATCTATTTTTTTCGTCATTAAATGATGTTGAATGTACTTTCTAATCTTTCTATGGATGCATGAAATCTTAAATTAAATACGTCCATCGTACGCTAATAAATTTAATCTTATAACGGTAAGAAAAATAAGAAGAAAACAAGAATCGAACTCGTTGCCTTCCGGCCTTCCTACCATTCTGCGTCCCCTTTAATTGAGATCGAATATCTCGTAACCGCGCTACGATTACCGGATTACGCAACGAACGGCACCGATCGTGACTGATTTAATCGTACTGAACACGAAACATTAAACGAGGAGCACAATTAAAAAAGGATCGAACGAAACGAGCATCTCTGACCCACATATCTCCACTGACGGCTCGTTCGTGCATTGGATAAGAGATGAATCACGTTCGAATCGAGACTCAAAAATAGATGAATGAAATCCTTTTCCAGAATTCAAACGAACCAAGCATTTCGTGTTTTCAGATACGAATCGATAAGATCAAACTGATTCAGTTATTAAACAAAAATAAATAAAAGAAATTGAAGCAGATAAGACCAATTTAATATGTGCAACTGAATAAAGTATTTCTATAAAAAGTAATGAACAATTAAAATTCTGCGATATTTTATTGAATAATCAAAGAATTTATAATAATATTATTATTTGATCGAAATAACGTCTGATAGCTGTTCGATGTTCTAATAAAGAAGCACTTGGTATTATGGACACGATTTTCAATTTAATCCTTTAGCTCACACGGGAGAGATCGTGGGCGGTATAGCCGGCGGATTTCTGCTAATCATCGCGGCAGTATTATTGGTTCTCTACAGAAACTGGAAATACGAACAGGAACTGGATTCCCTCCTATGGAAGGTGAACTACAAAGATATTCAGATCAAGGAGCAGAAAGACGAGTCGTCGGGAGTTAACGAGGCGCCTAACAAATGCAATTCCAAGGTAAGGTCCATTCTTTTTACGACGTCCCTACTTCCTTCTATATGGTATAACGTTTACGTTATTTTCGTAATTCGACCCAATTGATCCAGGAGATTTTTCAAAGCTCAGCAGAATTTTCTCTGGGATCCTGAACGACGCGCTCTTACAATTCTACGTAATAGCTCTCACAAATTAATTTATGCGATCGTCCAATTCCTGAGTGTCCTCGGCACGCTTGTAATAATTTTAGACTACGACGCAACCGATAGTAAGGACCAGCCAAGTATCACTCAGCTCCAACCCCGACGCTGATTTTCGTTATTCCATGATCTACACGCAAATAGGTGTATACAAGGGGCGAATATTTGCCGTGAAGAAGGTTCGCAAAAAGTCCATTGAAATTACACGGGAAATGAAGAAGGAATTGAAAGTGGTGAGTATAAACTATAAACATGATATTTAAGCGACTGCGGATTTTATGCAATACTATCTTGCATAAGAATATATTTATGTATATAAAATATCAAATATCTAATATTGCAATTTAATTAAATGATATGAGATGTTATTAAATGATAAAAGAAAACGTGAAACGAATTTGGTAAATTTTGTATAAAAATCCGCAATCTGCTTATGGAGAATCGCCAGTTAAGGAGCATCGTTCGTTTAGATGCGCGACCTACGACACGATAACTTGAACGCGTTCATCGGGGCGTGCACCGACCCGCCGAACATATGCATCGTCGTCGAGTATTGCGCGCGTGGCAGTCTGAAGGTAATCGCCCATCAGGACATTCGCAATTAAGTGGACGTAATTCGAATCGGCGTTCCCCGGGGTAATTTTCTCTGGCGCTCGTATTCTTTTAGGACATCTTGGAGAACGAGGACATGAAGCTGGACAACATGTTCATGGCGTCTTTGGTTGGTGATATAATAAGGGTGAGTAATATTCAGAAGTCGACGAAGTATTTTCTCAAAACTACTCCGTCCATAAGTTATATTTTCAAGTTTATCCTAAAAATATTTGTGAACAGTATGCATTGACCGCAAGTAATCAGACGAATCTAAACATTGTATAAAATCAATGCCTTAGAATATGAATAAAGTTTTAGAGAGATAGAAAACAAATATTTTTGCTGTTTGCAAGAGAGAACTTTCGAAACTTTTCACGTTACATCAGAAAATCGAATATACGGAGAGTGCCAATTTCGCTCTTTTTTCAGGGTATGATCTATCTTCACGAGTGCGTCATAAAATATCACGGTTCGCTGAGTACGTCAAACTGCTTGGTCGACTCCCGATGGGTCGTAAAGCTGGCGGATTTTGGGCTGCACGAATTCAAGAAGGACGCTGAGTGCGAACCTTGCGACGTAATGAAAAAATATCACGGTATATAATTAAATTTATAATTCATCAACGACATTTGATTAAATAAGTAGGTTCTAATAATTAATTAATAGAATCCAAATCAGATAGAAATTTCTCTTATCATTTACAGTTTGCATATGTATTTACTTCTAATATTTTTTATATTCTTATGCGTCACATTATATTTTATAATAAACAGAGAACTCGACAGGTTTGTTGTATCGAGCGCCTGAGTTGCTAAGAGCAACGAAGAGTCAAGAACCGACGATTCGGGACTATCAAAGGGGAGACGTCTACTCGTTTGCAATAGTCTTATACGAGCTTCAAGGGCGGCACGGGCCTTTTGGCATAACGGAGTTATCGAGCTCGCAGATATTGAAGAAAGTGATAGCGAGAGAGCCAGAAACGGAACCGTTCAGGTATTACAATTAACAGTCGCGGTCTGTCGACGGCCAGAAGACACTTGAATTTTACGTGCTTTTGTTTCCACCCTGTCAGCTACTCTGTTTTCCTTGAATTATCTCAGACCACCGCTGGACCAGTTGGAGAACTGTTTTCAATTCGTGCGTGATTGTCTGATAGAGTGCTGGGCCGAGGATCCCGAGACTCGACCAGACTTCAAGATCGTAAGAAACAAGCTGAGGCCGTTGAGAAAAGGAATGTACGTCGCAAACATTGTATCGAATAATAAATTATGTACCAAATATTTCTGGTGTATACTAAAGTAATTAACTTCGAACGTTCCTCAGGAAGCCGAACATATTTGACAACATGATGGCCATGATGGAGAAGTACGCTAACAATCTAGAAGCGTTGGTCGATGAACGAACGGATCAATTAACGGAGGAGAAGAAAAAAACAGGTTGCCAGATGCTCTAAAAGCGTCGTTCAATTAAAATCGTTCGATGTTCATGTGCAATGTATACACTCCGCGAGCATGCATTGCGCAATATGTAAAATATGTTACGAATAATTCTAAAAACAAATCTTATTAACGGAACGCAAAGTGTACATCGCTAATGCCGGTTAATTGGCCGATTTTTTACTCAATTAATATGCACTTTGGAAATTTACGAACCCGCCTGACTCCACCGTACAGTTATGCCAAATTATTACTTTCAGATGCTCTTTTATACGAAATGCTGCCGCGCTACGTAGCCGAGCAATTGAAACGAGGGCATAAAGTGGAGGCTGAGAGTTTCGACTCCGTTACGATTTACTTCAGCGACATTGTCGGGTTCACCGCCATGTCTGCCGAGAGCACTCCGTTACAGGTGATCACCATCAGTCAACTTTTTAACCATTAAACGCTAACATAGAGAAGAAACAATTTTTCTACCATTATACACAACACATGAGAGTTAATATAATACCGTCGCTGTTTATAAGATAAATAGAAATTAGTTTTTTTAGATAGATAAAAAATTAATTCTTATGGAATGTATTCCAATTCCGGTAGTATTTAAAAGCTTGACAGGCGTAATAAATGTCAAAGAATTATTTGTTTCCAGGTTGTCAATTTTCTGAACGATTTATACACCTGTTTCGATTCAACGATAGAGAATTACGACGTGTACAAAGTTGAGACCATAGGCGACGCTTACATGGTGGTAAGTAGGTATAAAGTACGCGAATCGCTTACACAGCGTCATGAATCATCCCGCTTTTGACAGGTAAGCGGTTTACCAATTCGAAACGGTATTCAACACGCCGGTGAAATCGCTAGCATGTCATTGTGCTTACTAGACGCCATTAAACAATTCACGATACGGCACAGGCCGCTGGACAAGCTGCAATTGAGGATCGGCATTCACTCGGGTAAACTACGATATCATATGATGATTCTTATGCGCGATTTTTAAACATGAAATGTAGATTGAGATCAATTCGTATTCTTTAATAATAATACACGATGAACCTCGTAACATGGCGACTGACGAAAAGAAAAAATATTGAGCCTTCTATTTAAAAAGCCGGAGGTGGTCCTCGTGTCCCGATAAAAAAGCAAAAATCAAAAATGCAATATTTGTTTAACAATTTTTATCGTACAGTAAATGCCATATGCGTTATTCTCAGTCGTCATGTTATGAGACTCACCCAACTTTTGCATATTAAATTTTTTTATAATAAATGCATAAATCTGCAATCTATTAATTATAGTCTTATATTTTTATGTTTGGTATAGGTCCTGTATGTGCCGGTGTGGTAGGTCTAAAAATGCCTCGTTACTGTCTATTCGGCGATACGGTCAACACCGCGAGTCGTATGGAATCTACCGGATCGCGTGAGTAATCGTAGGCTCTCATTACAGTATACAACGCAAAATTTTTTTGCAGTATCCACTGCGTGATTCTTATAGAGTGGCTTTTTTACAAAAACGTATCCGGAAGCCCTGTCCACGAAATATTCATATAAACGTAATGGATACTCCGAAAAATAAACGAAGTTCTTTTTTTTGGACTGTTTTATCAAATAATAAACTCGATCCTACAATATACAAAACTCTTTACACATTTTCCAGCCTTGAAGATCCATTGTAGTACAGAGACAAAAGAGCTGTTGGACAAACTGGGTGGATTCACTATAGCGGAAAGAGGGCTGGTATCGATGAAAGGCAAGGGCGAACGTTTAACCTACTGGCTGGTCGGGGAGGACCCCATTCGAAGAGGAGAACGCACCAGAGAGCGACAAAGCCGAAGGAACGGTTGCACGAAGAAGACCGACAACAACAACCCTTTGATACCTCGAAGTTCACTCAAGAACAAGTCGCTGGCAAGGTCAACTTTTATGAGGTGTTCCAGTGAATCACCGAAGCGTCTGCGTTTCGCCAGTTCCGATCAATTAGACCAGAAGTGCTCGCGAACGAACAGTCAGCTGGAGTCGATAGTCGACAACAGTCCGTGCAAGCAGAAGGCAGCCTCGTGCGTGATAAGGCCCGTGTGCGCGGACGACTGGCGATCATCTTCGAATTCGTGTCCGTGCGTGGAGAAATTGTGCGAACAGGAAATCGATGTTAAGGATCGGCCGGATGCGAGGAGTAACTGGACCATCGGCGACGAGGCCTGTTTCCAACGGTGTGGAGGGGCCAAGAGCTTCCGGCACGGGATCGTTCAGGCAACCTGCAGATCCGCGCCCAGCAGCCCGAGGCACAGCGCGCTGATCTTAAATTGTCAGAGGCGAGCGGCGCAGTCGAGCGAGGAGATAGACGGATGGGACGCTAGCACGCCACTGATTTATTATCCGGGAGGACGATTGGATTAAGGAGCTCGGTTCGAGCCAGTACGCGTCTTCAGTCGGTTTCGAGCGAGGTGATTTTCAATTGAATCGAACAACAGTGCTATCCCGGGATCGGAGTTTGAAAGTATAGTGTGAAACAGTGCGACAGGAGGTTCGATCGGTGCGATTGGGAATTGTGATTGTTTTTTCGATGAACGAGAGCCGTCGTTCGAATGGCCGAACCGGTGATTGCGGAAACTCGACGGATATCGACGAGGTAGGAATCTATTGTTTGGAATCTGATTCAAGTTAGCGATAGCGCCCGATTTAACTCTCGATTGAATCGATCGTTTTTTTAATCGACACTTTTTCTGAATCACCTTCCATTGACTGCGGACTTTATGCATTTATAAGAGACACGAATACAATCAATGTTAAAACCAGAGTATACATTGCGATATTTAAAAGGATTTGTTTTTAATTGTTGCATAAAAATTCGCATTCTATTCATTACCGCATCTCATCGATGTCTGACCGAACTAATCGATTGCGTCAATTAACGGACGGATCATACGAGTATGATTTGCTTCTCGCTCGCAGTACACGTACCAAAGCATACCGTACGTACAAACGAGATACCTAATAGATAAATACATGTATTATTTATATCGTGCGTAACTCGTACACGGAAATCATTGCGTCGCGTTGTAACGGTATGATTCCACGTTAGCATAGACAATCAATAAGGCTCGTGCTTCTTGTTCTATTGTTAAGCGTTTCTAGTCAATTTTCGTTTAATTTCAGACGCGCCGTAATAAGATGTGAATCCATACGAATTCGACGAAGTAGTCTCTAGACATCTGAGAGGATGTAGTATTAACTGCCAGCATATAGTACTTAAGATAATTATTTACAAGGTTAATATATTATAATACGCGATTAATATACACCGTGGACGAAATCTCGTTGTGAAACTCTTCTGATAAATGTAATTAAGAAACGCGAAACATGTGTAAGTTCTACTCGTTCAAATAAATAAATCATTAAACGAGCAGCAGGTGCCCAGCTTTACTCAAACCAATGAAATTCTTTATCTAATTAAAGCGCAACAAGATTTGGTATTAAATGTAAACCGAGATCCGAGATAAATTTTCCCCGTTTGTTGCACGCAAGTGCAATGGCATCGGGCACACGAGCACGATGCGTGATGAAACGGCGACAATAACGCACCGAGATTCATTAAATTATTAGCATTGAAGAAATTAATCGACCCAGAAGCGGCGCTGATTGCATTTCCCCTTTTATCTACCGCGCTCGGATCGTCGTGAAAAATAGGAAAAAATCGATCAAAGTCAGTCTGCGAGGCCCACGCATCCGTATCTAATTACTATTATGCGTTATCAGACTGCGGATTCTTGCACAAAATGAAACACATAATCAACGCTTTAAATAGAATTTAACCGTTGCTATATTCTTATGAATCTATACACGAGAGAAAAGTTCAGATACGGTATCGATCGCGTCGATGAAAGTCCAGTTGCAGCCTCTCAGGGATGTCGCCTTTCACGAGAGAACATTTTTTTTAACGAGATTACGTTTCGATTCACGGCTAACGAGCTGGTATTAGAAGACTGGTTGGCAAAAAAGGTAGCCAGACGTTTGAATATGCATACCAGCGACGCATCGTTCCTTTTGAATATCTAATGGTACTGTTACGTTTATTTATATCGGGCGAGCGCGAGCCGGTTGCTACTCGATCGCGAGTAACTATAACTAAATCCGTTAGCGATTCGACGGTTAACTAAACTCTTCATTACTTTAATTTGCACGTCTCGTTACGTGCCGTAGCACGTGATCCGGTACGCCGCCGTTCAGACTCCGCTTAAGTGCGAAACAGTCGTGCAAATACTAGAATGACTTCTGAATTTATTGCGCAATTTACTATTCGCGGTGTCTTTCGTAAACTTGATACAAAACGTCCTAAAGTCGAGTTCCTCGTTTCAAGAACAGAGACAAATTGGAAAGATGTAATAATTCGACTTGTATTCGGTTTAATCCCTCAGAGATCAATGGGACAACACATCTATTAGAATGTTATACTCGAAAGATAAATGAATTAATTTACTTCGCTTACTTTGGTCGATAACAGAGTGGCGTGATTTATGTTAATAAATGAATAAAGAAAGCGTCTCGAAATTCGTCGACGAGAAAGTTTTGCGAAGAATCCGAGCACCCTGTATAACGAGGCAACTCTTCTATACAGAATGGGGTACCATCTTATTTACGGTGAAGTGGTTGTCGGCCAACTTAGAGGAGCGGCCATCATTCAATCAAGCCGGGACAATTTAAACAGCCTGATTCACGCAGCGAAATCATTTAATATTTGACGTCAACCACGATTATCGTATAACGGGTGCGTAATGGCCGATTGTTTATACAGGTTGCAAGCGGCGCCGCAATTTTCAAATGGTTGTATCTGCCTCCTGAGAACGAGATGTTGTTGAATCGTTCGCCGGTCAGGAGCAATGTTGCAAAATGATCCGTCGTTAGCGGCGGGCAACAAGTGACGAGTACGATTACTCTTCAACCAGTTACCGCTAATGGCCGAGGTTGAACCGACGACCAAAAAGGATTCGAGCCGTGCTGCCGGGGCCCCCTTTCTCCGCCGCCAACGGCCTGCCGCAATGTAAATCCCATTCCCAGCGACTACGCTATTCTATGTAATCGTTTAAATATTAATCGCAGCGGCGACACTGCGTTATTTCGACTTCACGCTCGAACGCGGACGGTCTCTCCGCAGAGCACTTTTATTAGGCTCTCCTTCTGCCAGCCGCGTGTCTATTTATAGACTCGGAATTATCTTCATCCGCCGTAGAACAATACGTCCCGAGCGGTAAAAATTTTCGATGAAAGAAGAATGATCTACATGCTCTCCAATAAAAAGAAACCATCTAGCAATTAGAACGTTGTGCACGCGCGTGGAGAATAGATAAGGAAATAAGCGTGGTCTAATTGCGAGTTTATTAAAAGAAATTATAAAGATAAATTATAAGAAAAGGTGCTTCATGCGATGTTTACGCTAATGTTCAAATTTTGTGCATAATTCACGATACAATCAGACTGCATCATGTCATGCATAAAACATGGAGAAGAGTACGTATAAAAATAGTAATGAGAACATTATTACTTTTCCCTATTAAACGTTTCTCCTCGTCACGTGTCACATCTTTCCACGAGCCGCCCGCACCTGCGGCCTACGGACGACCTGTTGTCCACGCACAACACGCGGTTACTTTACATAAGATATGCGCGAGCATAGACCGAGCTGAAAATAAACTTGTCGCGATTCGACGCCTCGCTCTCTGTGTCATTTAGCCTGATTTCCATCGTCGCTACTCGCGAGCGCCTTTCCCGCGATGAATAATCGCGAAATCACACAAATCAACGAGTCGTGTGCACTGATATGCAAAAATATTTGTGATAACAATTGAAGAAATGAAATCCAGATACAAAATAATGATATTTTTTATGTTCTGCACATTCGTGTGTCTATTGTATATGTATACAAAAATTATCTAAAGTACGGATTAGTAAGCGTTCATAATAAGTTTGCTCGAACGTGTAAAATGCGAACGATTACGCGATATGAGATTCGTCTATCTAACGTTAGCTGCGGTATTCAACAGTGAGAAAATTATTACTTCGATAATGCGTTCAATTAAGCGTTTCCATACCGCTTGATAGGAATCAACAGGCTATTTTCTATGAAGCACGAGACGCGTAGTCGAAAAGGAGAAAGGAAGAAGAGAAACGTCGACGTGAGAGAAAAATTGTTACCCGCGAAAGTTAACGCAGCTCGGTCCCGCGCTAAACATTGTACGAGGAGCAGCGAGTGTTGACACTCACGGGGAAAAAGATAAGATAGCAACTGTTTTAGCAGCCAATCGGCGCTTCTGTGCGTCGTCCCTACGTCACTGTTGCTAACTGTGGTTGTGTACACACGCCCGTGGTAAATTGATGTTTCTGCTTTCTGAATAGTTCGACTCCCCAGGCTGTAAACGCGCGAGAACGAGACTGAGGAAGCGCGAGACCCGACAACGGGATGTACGTGGCCGAAAAACGTGTCACAGGCAGGGTAGAGGAATTTTATCGTGGGTGCAGAAAGTGACGCTGCAACATCGGAAAATTTATAGGAAGATAGCGGGAGGAAGAGAGGTACAAACGAACTCGGCCGAGAAATTAATTGAACGAGATAGGGGGACGGTCCGTTGCTCCGAGAAGGAAGCGTGACCGTCTTTCACTCGAGGGAATCTTTAGTTTGATAGAAAGATGCAAAATTATATTACAGACGATGTAAAAAATGTCCTATAAAAGAGGTCAGAGTTATTTAGTATAAAACTTCTTAACATTCTGATTTCGCGTTTCTCTGCCTCATATTATCGCCGAGGATCACGTGCATTAGCAATGAACGCGTATAATAGAGGCAGTCGTTGATTATGCCGTGCGCTATTACATCGTACATTAACCGCGAATCGTACGTTAACGCGTTCGCTGATGTAGCACTTGCTCATTGAAATCTTGCGTGTAATAGCAGTTTACAGACAGTTAAGCCCGGCAATTAGCTAGCACGAAAAAATTAGATGAGTTGGGAAAAATAAAAGCGAGGCTTAGTAATGTAGGTACTAGGTACGTATCCCGCGCTGATAAAACTGCTTTCACTATCAATCGCAATTCCATATACATACGTAAGCAGAGAGCAAAGCGTTCGGTGAGAATAAGTAAATATATGCTTCTAGTCCTCTTAACTGCGTCTTGTAAACAAGATTACATCGGGCAGATTACAGATTTTCAAACAATACAATTCAATCAACGCGTTATTTCTCGTAAACGTTATTACTTTTATGGAACGAAACGCTAGCAGTTTACTAATAACTTCGTCGAAAAACTAATAGTAATTGGAAAAATGTTAATGCGGCGATAGCGCAATATTGATGATGTTATTTTAAATAATATGTCATGTAACTTATTACGAATGCACGTCTTCAATCTCTATACAACATTTTTCGTTTTAGGTCGTAAAAATACACAAGGTTAACAAGAAACCTTGTGATTGTGATCAATATCAAATTCTTCAGTATCTAAAAATATTCTGGAATTATTCATCCCCCAAACCGATGACGAAAATTTCTGTCATCGATTCAATTGATTTATCCTGACGTGATACTGTATTCGAAGTTCGATCGTGTTTCCGTTCAGCTACAATTTAAGTGGTGAAAGTCATAGCGGTGTAAGTCACTTTTCAGGCAAACTGCGGCTTGCATAGCATTCTTAGAGTCCAAACACTAATAAAAGAAAACATGCAATAAATCTTGACTCATCTTACTTGCTCCATTTCACTTCATGCTAAACTAAAGTTACTAAAGATTCTACTTATTTAAGTACATAATCGTGGAAATCACTTAGGATCACTGCCAACAAAAACAGGGCTTAGGTTTAGTCGATTTATCATCACCATTTCTTATAGCAAGACACACCAGTTCAATTACTGTTCCTCACTGTTTTCTACTTTAAGAATTTATTATGGCACCTGATTTAAAACTCATGCTTCTATGAACTATATAGAATTTTAATAGACTTGCATCACTGTGACTTACCTCTCATTGTCACGAAAACAACGAAACTTCTTTTAACCTGTTACGTGCTCCCATAAATGGACCCCACTAGCACACACTAGATAATTGTACGCTGTGTTTAGCAAATAGAATCTCCCAACATAAATATAACAGAATTCCGTGAATCTGACAGTACGGTATTTAAAGTCACGATAAATCGGGACGACTCTCGAATAGTCTCGGAATCGTGCAAATTGTGACTGTAATAAACATCGACTTACGTTAATCCACCAGCTCCGATCGGTATACCGTGCGTCGTCCTTGGCAGTTGCTTGACACCGGCCGCTCGAGCACATTCAATTGTCTGCTGCGACGAGGCTGCGAAATTCCGGGTCACACACGTGTATCCGCGACACTCGCCACGATTTCACGGCAATTTCCATGAGCGGAGGGAAAATTGTTCACCGGCATTTTCGAACGTCCCCGTGTCGGCACACCGATCTCGATCGAAGCGCCGCTGCCGTGGCGCCACCTTCGCGGCGCGCGGTGACACTAGGCCCCCTCCGGATCATGTGTTCGTTCAGTATATTGCGGCCTCTGCTTGCGTACGGTCGTTTGTTAAGGGCATGACAATTGGTTTGTCTCGGTGCCGCGTTTCGTAAAACGAGTCCGCGATTCCGTCGCCGCGTACTGCCAATGCAAAACGAGCGTGTGGTGTACCGTCGTGCACGTCTATCACTCGCGAGCACGCTTCGGCTTGGCACTTACCGTTTATAAAAACGGGGAAAGGACGAAGGCGAAAGAAACTGATCGGATGAGTGCGACTTCTTCGCGCCAGTAAAGGCGTCCTTCCGCGTTCCCGCTAACGTACGTGCACGAGATCCAGCGGTCGCGTGAGAGTGGAGTGATTCTTTTTTTTTTCTACTTCCAACGGGCAGTGCCGCGAAAAGGGAAGCAGACGGAGGACGGGAAACTGCAGTTTAAAAGTGAAGTTCTCGATGACTTTTCGCGATCGGTCACCGAGAGACCCGCAGGGATGACGAGATAGCCCCCCATCCGACGTATTGGATTACCATGCTGGACACGGCCACGAGTCGCAGGTAACAGAGAACCGTGTGCACCCCGTGTAAAGACTCCCCACCTTGCTATCGTCTTTCCTCCATCCTCCTCACTTTCTTCTCTCTCCTGCCTGTCTGATCTTCCCCCTTTCTGTTTTGTACTTTTCCTCTCTCTTTTCCACCATTGCGCCAAGCGTCGCCACACAAACACAAACACGCGCCGTCCCTCTCGCTCTTTTATTTTCCTCCATCTAACGTGAGAGAGATCCCGGCGGGAACAGTGCCGCCGGTACACACGGGTGGACGCGACTCTGTTTCTATCGGGCATTCGCTAGAGTAAACGATTGGACGAGCGCCAGCTGCAGAGGAAATTCCTCTGACAAAAATTCCCGAGTGTCACTTCCTCCGATCCATGCGCGCGCGTGCAGCGGAACGATGATTTTGTAATTGTACATTGCGCGCGGCCGAGCTCCGTTCGGCCGGCGATCTCTCGGTTCGGCGGAAAGGTCGGTTCCTTGCTGATAACAAGGGCGCGTGTCAAATCTCTTACACTGCGTCTCACAGCCACGAGTTAAACAATTTCCAGCTCGCGTATCTCGTTAAATTTACGTCAAACCGAGCTTAATTCAATTTACACGTAAATGTCACAATATCTGCGAGCGCTTTGATTCATGCATTGAAATTTTTGTTGCATTACAACGTTTTAAAACACGACTATGAGTTAGCGACGAAATTTCGCGGTTGGGTGACACGCGCCTTGTGATGGAAATCTCAAATTTCTTTGTGCCATGTATTTCCGGAACAGCGTGTCTATACGGCGATATGCACGCGTGTTGATGCAGTTCTATTGCGTTTCACAGTTGAGGGAATGAGGTAGCGAACGAGTTTTCACGCGCCAGTGTATTTTCGTTACGTCGTCGTCATTGTCGTCGTCGTCGTCGCGTGTACGCGTTTACGACGCGTGTATTAAATAGCAGTGATTAATCGCGCAGCGGTAAAGAGTTCACCGGAAAGAATGTTTTGTTGTACTTATATCCACGAGAAGGTCCCGTGTCCGCGCGTTGCATACAATGTAGTGTATTTGCTCTCGTTAATCGGCGTATCGTGGCGACGTATGTGTGTACGTATTTTCGTCGCTTGGCTCTGATACACAAATCTCTGACGTATACGAAAGCAAACGGAGCGATCCTAAGAAACTAAAACAAATACAATTTACACGTGATCCCGTTTCTTAATGAAAACACCCGATTCTTGCAGTCACATACCCAAGTATATGAATATTATTTAGCATACTTCGTACTCGGGGATCGAAGATTCGATTTAATTAATTAATCCCCCGATGCTAATATGATGAGCACGATCTGTCGTACACATACTTGATGCAGCGTGTATACTGAAGCGACAACGTTTCTCCGATGTATCGCGTCCCAGGGTCCACCGTATTCTAACCATTAACAGTTTACTTAACGAGCAGATAAGAGTGAACGTAGAGGAAAATTTCCAACGAGACTTTTCGCGTTTCGACTTGTTCGTCTTGTCTCGTCTCCTGATATCCTCAGCCGAATTAATTAACTTCACTGCAAATTCTTCTATATAGTGTAATAACGATGTATCTATATTAGAATCCATTAATTGCCCATTCTACGTCCCGACCGTATTTCCCAGGTTTTGGTGTTAATTAATTTTTGTGAAAAACATTTTATTTTCAAATTCGCGCGTGTCAAAGCTGAGTCATGGTTTCGTTATATGTACAGACGTCAGAAAAATTCGTCGGGGCTCGTTATCAGTGTTTCTGTTACGTTTTAGAGACTACAATTGAACAGGAGTTAACGAAAATGTAAACAGTACACGTTACACGATCCGGATATCGGGAGCGCCTTTCAGTCAGATGCGTGTATCATATCTGTGCCCCGATAAATTCTTGCACGTACGACGAACACCGACGCGATTCACGCAACGAGTCCATGTCCAGATCGGAAAATAGATCCGTCGGCCATCTGTCTATCATTAAATATTCTACCCATACGTATTTTTTATTTTACTGGCAACGAGTTTTTAATAAAATATTTAAAGAATGTTCGCACGTCTACTTAAATATTCTTATTAGTGCGAATTACAGGTTTCGTATTAGTGCGAATAACAACCTTTTTGCCAGGTGTTTATTATTATTATGCGAAATTCGAATATTTGTGAATATAAATGAGTAAAAATATTTGTCGAAATGGAAATGGGATGCATAAAAGGGGAGGTCAATGTTGCATCGGTTGTTCTCGCGTTGGAGCTGCATCTCGGCCGGCTCGCGATTCGAGAAAATAAAATTTGCTACGGAGCAAAGGTTGCAACGATAAATATTGTCCAGGAGAGATGCCAGCCGGTTGTCGGCGGCCAAACAATAGCTTTTCATCGTGCGCGGTTCAAAAGCGACTCGGTGGAACAACGACCGAGCACGAGAGACGTTTTAATGAACTTAATTATTCCGAACGTCGATGCTTAACCTCTTTGTTGACCGCTATACCGCTGTCCGAGCTGCAACATTGTTAGAAACAGGTGGCCCGTGCTTGGCGTCACGTCGATTCAGTCGCGTTTCTCAAATAAAATTTATGGTACGCCCCGTTACTCTGTCGCGAAAAGGGAATTCAGACCTTTGGAAATGTTCAGTGTTCCGCGTTACGCTTGATTAATGTCTACGCGATTTGCATTTCAATTAATCGTTTTTGTTCCAATTACTTTTTCCGCCCTTGAACGTATGTACAACCTTAACCAGACAGTCGAGCAAGAGGCAGGTATTCGATGTCAGAGTGGAAAGAAAAATAGGACACGTGTCGGTGGACCGTAAATGAATCCCGAAGAAAAACAGCGGCGCTTAACGAAGGAGGATTAAAAGCCGGCGGGACACCTGTAAAAAAAGGCTATTTACAACTTTATTAAAGCGGCTCGTTTCGCTTCGCTCGGACCACCGCGTATATACGCGGGGAAACCGCGGTTATAAAACACGCGAAAAGCGAGGCTCGCGCTACACACAGTCACACACCTACCAGATATTTTATAATGGGGTATACCAATAAAAATGCCACTTGTCAGGCCGCGACTGTTTTGCATAATTTCAGTTCAGGGTACACGCGCGTAAATTGCGCGCGCTGGCAATAAATCTCGAGGGAAACCGCTACACTTTCGGCCCCGCGCCTCACTCTTTCCTCTCGTTCTTGCTCTCGTTCTCCCTTTTATCTCGAGATCCGAGATACGGTAGCTGTAGATGTATGATCAACGACGCATCTAATGCCAATTAAGCAGTTTAACATCACGCACAAGATGCAACTTTGTATACTCGTGAACATGTCCCTAGGGATTAGTACGGTTACATACAGTGTGGATTAAAAGTAACAGAATAATCGTTATGTGAGGATAAATTTTAACGGCTGCGTGCATAAGGATTAAACACGATTGTAAAATGCGTAGCAAACATATTTGTATCAGCGTTTATATATTTTTTTCTAGACATAATAGCGACTCCCTCGTGAGCAATTCTATATTGCTAGCCCATCCTGTATACCCGCTTAAGCCCCGGAGCAGATTTTCCCGCAAAACGAACGGAAAGAAACGAAATCGCGGCGAGAGATCGATTAGCCTGTCAGATGGGGATAGATAATCCGACACGGACGTATCTCGATCGGAATCGAAAGAAAACGATCTTCTTCGACCGCAATCCCGCTCGAGCACGAGGCGCGGGAAGAAAAAAACACGCGTGCTTTCTAATTAATCAGTTAAGCTAAGTATTCGCCGTGCTTAATGGACGTAATTAGCCCTACATGCTTCGCGCGAGCACTGAAATTGCACGATTGACCTGTGCGTTCGGGGGAAATTAATAAAACGTGGGATGACCTAAGCGATCATGATTGCACAGTTTTTACGAATCTTTTATAGCAGCGGAATAGAAACGTCGTTTTTCTCCTCGCTCTTAATTCGTTGCTGATGAGACGGTTCTAAATCGTTTAATAGTCGTTATTACACATGGCTCGCCGAAGCGTAGCTCGACTAGTCAATAGGCAAAAACGGTGCACGAAACCTTTGCGATAATAGAATTTTATCGTTATCAAAGCCGACGTCGTTCATGCGTTATGCAATAGTACGGTTCTACGTACAATATCTGTATGCTTCTGCTTAACACAGGTATATCCAAGTCTGCGAACATCAGACAGAATGTTCTCTTCTCAAGTATTATACTATAAAGTACGTAGAACATCGTATAAAAAAATTTTATTGTCTTGTATGTAATGAAAATTCGTTTTATAAAATGAACCGAGCAAAGATACATAAAAATCAGAATTAATACGTGTCACAAGGTTTTGCGATTAGTCTTCAATGTTCGATGAATACATGCGGTGCGTTGGGTTTAAGGGATCCGGTGAATATCGAAAGCGCTGCTGCGTGTAACGGCGTAAGGGTTGAGTAATGACTAACGAGTAATGCGCCGACATAAGTAACCATTAAGTAACGAGTGCCACTCACACACGTGCTTCTGTATACACCGTTGTGTACACGCGTCCGCACACTATGAGAGATTACGAGCACGGTTGTCTCGGCTGATCATGATGTTCCTTTCATTCAGAGCCCGATTAACGATCTGCAGATGTATTTAACGAGTTCTAAAAGCGGCACTGTGGTTTACCGACCGCTTCTTCTCGAGTGCCTCTCGAACGAGGATGCTCCTCCGCGATCGAAGGAATTCGAGTTTAAATCATTAAGCGAGGCTAATTGGAAATTACGTATCATATCGTATAAAAACAGTTTTACATAGGTTGTTATAATTAAACTGCGGATGTTTACCCATTATAAGTGTACTCGAAACCTAAATGTTTTATTTTGCATAAAATTAGTAATAATAAATGCAGAGACCACCCAAAGAAGGACCGAATGCTCCGGTTTGATTAAAAAGGGAGCAAAATCCTCGGCGGGCGTTTAGGAGAGGAGAGACAAAGGCGAAGTGGGAAGATTGGCGATCGCCTTGCTAGCCTGGAAATCCAGTTAGTCCGGCAGGGGCCCCGAGACAATGCGCGGAGAGCAACCCGTGCAATGCCGCCTCGGGAGAGCTGGTTGGGTGAGCGCGACGAAAATAACTCCGGCAGGAGAATATTACGGCACTTTGCAATGAGGAGAGACCAATGAAAAGAGAGGAGCGCGACCGGGAAAGAAGGACGAAGATGCATCTCTTCGACGAAGAGAGACGTGCGCAAGGATAGAAGGCTAAAAAGAAGAGTAAATGTTGCGGGATAGAAGGGGATGAAGGAGACAGAGAATCGCGTGCGCGCGTTTGTATATGGCGCGTACGTATACGTAAATAAACGTGTGTTTGATAAGGAGAAGCGCCGGGGAGAGACAAAGAGAGAAGCGATCGTCTCATGGCGAACCATTCGAAACGAGCCGACCGGCGGTCGTCCTCTTTTGGTCCGTGACGCGATCGGCCAATGACTGGTTCTCTCTCTCTGGGCAATGTGCAAGTCCCTCTTCGAGTGCGCTCTCGTGTATGTATCTACAGTGCTCTTCATTGACGGCCGCAAAACTGGTCCACCGCGGTCCGCATAAAACTCCGTTAGAACTAGTTCCATGCGAAACGGGCTTAACAACCCTTGTCCGATGGGAATTTTCTTTCTTCTTCGAGAATTTCCAGAGAAACAATTAAAAAAAATTGTCCAACGTTGGAAGATGATTTCTCGGCAACAAATTATTGCATTATGATGAATTTTCTTTTAAATTAAAACTATTCAGAGATTTTTACAATATTACGACAGAGAACGTTTAAATTTAAGGGCACTTTTAAAATTTAGAAATCCGCAGTTTGGTAACGCGCACAGACTTTCAGTAATGTCGTTTATGGCAAATGAAAGTTTGATTCGTCGTCTTAAATTAAAAAAGAATGATTATCGTGTGCGATTTTCGACGGAAATTTCGTGATGCCACTATTTTTTTAAACAGTATATATCGATAATGGATGAATCCATGTAACAAGTAGCGCAGGAGCACACTTTCCTTCCCTTTCACGTGCACGTCGTTCAAGTTGCAGCGAATACCGGGAAATCCTGGTGCTGCCAGCATGTCTGCCAGCGATCGACGGAATCCGTGAGCTCCCGAGCGGCTCCGATTCCCGTCTTCGAGTTTGCCGGTCGCGCGCGAGGCCACTTCCATAAAACCGTAAACGTCGATTACGCAATGATGTAATATAATAATGAATATTGTCCCGGCGATGGAGATTCCGTCAGATAGAGTTTCTTATTGCTGAAACAATTGATACTTGCTCGTAAACGCGCGGCTGCGTATTGCACCGCCGCGGCTATCCGCCAGCCGTTTGATTTGTGAGCTCTTTTTCCTGATAGCACGAGCGAGCGCAAGCGCGTTAAAACCAATTCGTTTTTTACCGGCGGGATAATGGAACGGCGCGCGATGGTTATGCTGTTTGGTAATAAATTGGGTAACAAAAGTGAGCGTAGTAGAAATGGTAATCGGTGTTACAAGGTAGTATGATAATGCGGTAATTAAGTAAGGTAATAGTAGCGTGTATTTTCATTGCGCATTATGCAACACGCGTTTCTGGTTAATGCTAGCCGCCGGGATGTCGTCCTGAATATCCGAGAATTCTGAAGTTGAGTCACCTCCTGTTTTGCCATTGGAATATTGTAATACGATCGTAAAAGACTTTTAACATTTCGAAGGTAATCTAAAGGTTACGAGATTGTCTCCGGTCGGCGATTAGAAAAAAGGAACTTGGCCATTTTTTGTTTCGTCGAGGTCCGAGAGCTTTTAAGATTCGCGGGTTATTTAAAAAGTAAAAACGCGAGGGAGGCTCGCGGTTTGTCCAGATCTCATAAAGATATGCTTATTCATCCTGATGGTAGGTTGTCGACGTGGACACGCCTCTATCAAAGTCGTCGGTATCTACAAAGAGCTTCTTCGAGATTTTCTTTCCGTTCCCACCATTCCCAAGAGCAATTCTGCCTCCTTCCGTTCCTTTTTGCGCTGGACGTAGACTGACCGGGTACGGCCGGGGCAGCGGCAATTCCAATATTTCACGGAAGCCGGGGGAAACAATTTGAAGCCAAACTTTTTGATAAAATAAACGCGTTCGAAATTGGAGCGAACGGGGGAAGAAAGTGAAAGATGAAAGAAGGGTGGCCGACAAGAAGCGGTAGGAGAATCATGAACCAGCGAGGAAATAGCAGAAGGGGGCAGGGCAAAAAGGAGAAAAATGGCCCGGGACTAAAAAAGGAAGAGGGAAAGAAGAAAAGTGGTGAACCGGCTGGACGCAACGAGCTTGAAGTAAACCAAACCTACCGGTCCTACCGCTCGCGCTACCACTACCACCTACCGAACTATTACCTACAGCAGGTCTATATCGGGACTCTGCCCCGTCTCTCTTATCCGATGCAGCGGAATAGCGAAATCACCTACGTCCCCTGTATCTTCCACGGGCTATGTGGGTGTTCCCAGCTCGATTCCCTGTAGGAACCTCGCTGATCCCTTAGTGGAAAACGTTCGCCTCCCACTTACGAATTAAGAGACTCGCCAGGAAATACGTTAAAACATTTGTTCATATTCATATTAAAATGCATGGTATACGATGCATTGAACGATTATCTTAAATGTATTTGGAGTTTCAAAACAGTGGAGTCGCTGCGTTTGAACAAAGGAGCAGCGGACCTGTTGAAAGTAGTCCACGATAGACCTTGATCTATTACCGAGGAAAGTCGGATCTAGTTTTTGTCGAACCGTGACTGAATGCTAAGCCAATTCTTAGACCTAAAGAAAATTAAGCCTTTATATTCTAATTATCGCGACAATCTCGTTCGATCTGCTTGTAAATCGAAGATGCAACCTGGCGCAACTTTTTCTCATGGCCGCGACGCAGCTGCTCGCTGTAATTAATACACGATCCTCATTCGTTACGTAAACCGTGAACGAGAAAAAGAGAGCAGGACGAGAGAAAAATTGTAATGGAAACGAGATGGGAGTCGCTCCGGGCGGTCGCGTGAACCAATCGATTAAAATCGTCGGCGTGCCAACAGGTGACATAATCTGGTTCCGAATGATTAGAAATCCGAGTGTCGCTTTAATTGACGCTAATTACATTTAAGATTGCACGAGCCGTAAGATCACTGACAAAAGTTTAAAAAATGCAATAAATAACTTTGTCCAATATTCGAAGCGACAAACTTTGAGAAGAGATGATATTTATTGAGGAATAAGATTTATAAAATTCTTACCTATATAATATAATAGGAGGAGGCTTAATGAGGAATTCATACATAAATGGTATTCCTTATTTCTAAAGTCTGCCTCTGTTCATTTCTTTATTACTCTGACGGCTTGAAAATAAATTTAAAAATTAATATCGTAATGATATTTTTGCATGGTTTTTACGACTACACAGCAAGTGTTCCAATGATCTCTCCAACACATTATGCATGTAATGTTTATAACTTGTTTACTCTGAGAGATCGCGGACATTCGAATCGACATTACCTTCGTGTCCCAAATATGAAACGTCAATGCAAGTAAAACGAGTTCCAACTCGACATTGTTTCAGGTGGCTGTTAGAAGTTCAGGCTGAAACCGCGAAGAGTACCGATTGGCATCAGCATGCTCGTGATATAGCGTCCAAGCACCGACGATCTTCCCCCTGAAGTTACTCTGCCATGTTGCTTAGGTAAGATAATTGAAGAAAGTAGCTAATTTCTCCCGGGTTAAGCAACACGTGTAAACGACCTCGGCTGGTAGCGGCTATTATAATTCCCCATAATTTATCATTATCGCGGTACCACCTCGCGCCCGCGCGCTCTTACGCAGGCATGCACGACATTACGCCTCATTCCTTTTCTCCATTCCTCCTTTCATCTCCTATCTGAGTACGTTGACGGCGATGAAGGGTGTTAGCCGTTTGAATCATTGCAATTATATAGAGAGGCGCGCGATTTAATATCGCGGCGAGGAACGACACTGCGGCAGATATTCTAAATGCGTGTTATCGTCCGTTGCCGCACTATTTTAACGTGTTATCTCGGTCCACGTCCGACATGGGACCGCAAACACGCCCGTCCTCTTCGCGGGTGCATTTTAGCCGCGCTGTTCTTCTGCCAACGCAGCGGAACACGCGTATTCCGTCAAAGCATACGCGCGGATGGAAATTCTTATGGTTCATGCTTTTTTATTACATCGCGCCATTATCGTATAAAATAAGAAATAATTGTTTTATTTAGAATTATGCTATGAGAATAACAACTTGATTATAAATTTCTCTCTTGCTATTCGCGTCCAAAGGTTCGCAAAACAATTATCCGTTTTTTTTTCTGATTAGCTGCCGGTCACGTGGCTCGGAACGTGATCAGAAAAATAGAACTTTAACTGGCTGGTCGTTAAACAAAGGTCGTTAAATGTAGCGTTCCCATGGTTAAGGTCGAGGCACGGGAGAATTTAGGGTGGTCGAGTTTCAAGAACGTTCTCGCGGTCCGAGCGGAAAGCGCCGCGAGTAAACGCGTGTTTTCGCGCGATCGCTTCTCTCGCGTGTAGGTTCGAGCGGCGAGCTAAGGGCCTGCCGGCGATAAAACCAGTCACGAACATCGTACGCGGATAAAACGTACGTATATATGTATGTACCTACGCGATAGAGCTACTTCTGTAGAATTCTGGCGTGTGCGTGCGTTACACGGAAGCATGGAACAATGCGATGCCATTCATGGTAAAAGACCGGTGGTTGAATCACCCACTCCCACCCTACGGGGCAGTGCACAGGCGAAACACGGTGGCTATGAATTTCAGAGCGTGCAAAAAGCAACCAAAAAATTGTTTCGTACCGTGAAAGAGCAGGTTACGTTAAAAAACAGACGATTGTATTTGAAATATTTTCCGTATGAGAAAATAAGTTAATCAGCTAGAAATATCGGGTTTTTATGTAAGCATCGTCAGAGAACGCTCCACCCCTTTGTTGATAAAAAATGAAAAAACGTGATTCTTATCAAATACATTAAATAAATCGATGACTTAAAAATGAACAATGTTTCTTGCTGTAAAATTTGTAAGATCATTAACTATCTCTTTCATATCTTGTTTGCAGCTTTTTTATGTTTAAATGCTAATATTGTATTTTCATGCAACTTACTATGACTAATAGTATTCGTTGTTTAGTTTTTTATATCTCAGTTTACTGAACGATCTTTCAACTCTAGCTGGTTTTTCTGACTCTCGGAATAAAACTACACAGAAATCCCTCTATTCATTGGGTCTCATATTCCAGCGAGTTAGTAAAAAAATTTGTATTTTTGTGAAAATAGTGTTCAATATTATGTATTTTCTTTTCAATTTGCCCGTGAAAGGCTTTAAGGATTCATGAAATTATTCTAAAATTCATGAAATTTCCTATTTCAATGCGTAAAATGAACCACAAAGTCCATTTTACGGAAACAAGAAATCTGAAGGATCATCAGCGGTGGACTAAGTGTCCCCAGAAAGTAGAGAATGAAAGATCCTTTTATATTCTCATTGAATTCGTTCGATAAATTCTGTTTCTCCTCGATCCTGTTGCGAAACCGATTAGATTACTCCGTCTCACGGATGCTATCCGCGTGTCAGAAGATTAGTAGGTTTCCAGGCACATAATTGCAGCCGCAGAGAAAGGCGTTAACCCGGCGAGAATCGTAACGATACTGAACCAGCACGAATTTATAGAAACGTCAGTTTGTAATTACGCGTCCGACTAGAATGCACCGAGCCGAGATACAGGGTGAGATACTTGCACGGAATTTACAGAATTATAGCAATTTATAGCGGCGCACGCGCTGCCCGATTGTCTACAACCATGTACACGATGAGCATATAAAAATCGATATCAGAAATTCATTTATGAATTCGTCATTAATAGTAGT